GTGTGTGTGTGTGTGTGTGTGTGTGTGAAGGGTTTGGTGAATATAAAAACAGCCCACAGGAAAATCTTTTTTTTTTAAACCTTTCTAAATTTTCACTTTATCATTAACTTATTTGTCTAATGATTCAGTGACTTCATGATCTTCAAATTTAAAGAAACAGATTTACATTTTTAGATATTGTTAGAAACAAAAAGGACCAGAAAAAAGCTTAAAGGACGCCTCATTGTTCTTAATAAATGAGATTTGAAGCTTAAGCCTAACTTTAAACAGAGTCAAGGGGGCAGTTTGCCCATGTTTACAGTCTTTTTGCTAAGCTAAGCTAACCATCACCTGTTTGCAGCTTCATATTTAGCATATTGACATCAAATCTTATAGTTAAGTGAAAGGAATCCAGTTTCTTTCTTATCTGTTCCTTTAAATGATGAGTGAGTGATCAGATTGTATTTGAGTTCCTGACCTCTTTAATCCCTGAAATGTGATCAGATCACCAGTGAAAGTGAAAGAAAACAGGTTTTAAATAACTATATATAGGTATGTGTGATGTTTTTATCTGGATATGAGTTGATGTCTGCAAACATTTTTATTTATCTAAAGCCTTTAAAATAATAACGGAACTGAAGCTACTTAAGTTTCCAGTTATGTTGCGTTATGACAGATTGCACGTTTTCTTGAAACAAATCCTCCATAAACTGGTTTAATTCTTTCTCTCTCTTTGGTTAAAATGTGCAAACTGTAAAATCCGTAACTGTTTTCGTTGGTTGAAATGAAAACCTCCCGACTCTTGGCCCGATACAGCTGGCACTGAGAAGTGCTGTAATTTACCCATTTCGTCCTGCAGGCAGCATTTTGTGAGTGCGTGACTTATTCTGTGATCCGGCAGCATCGGGCCGATGATTCACTGTTCACAGAACGGGACAAGTCAGCACTTTGGATGCTGAAGTGGTTTTTTTGCCAGGTTTTAATCGTGAAGCAATATGAATACACACTGCCCCCTGCTGGAATGGAATGTAAAGTCATGCAACTGCATCAATCTACTTTAAAGAGCTGCATATGCAAACTCTTCAATGCAGAGTTAACTTGTTTGTATTCATCTTGTTTTTTTGGTATTCTGTGGTTGAGCTTGTTACTGCTTTAGAGGTTTCTTTGTAACCTCTGGATTGAGCTGATTTTTATTGATATATGGATTTCATGTGTCTCCTGCTCAGGTCTGGAGTCTGGTTTTGTCACCTTGCCTCGCCTTTCGCGCTCCGAGCGTCAGCAGCCGTCCATCTCCATCCCCACCTCCTGCTCCACCAACATTCACCGCGGCTCTCTGACCGACCCCTCTGACATCATCTTGTCCACCTGCTCCGCCTCTGTTGAAACTTCCGACCCCTGTCGCACCACTGCCTTTTCCGACTCCCTTCCTTCCCTCACCTCCCTGGATACCTTCACTTTTGACCTTGGCCCCTCCCTCATGAGCGAGGTATTTAGCCTCATCGATGGCCACCCGGAGGAGCGCAGCCACACCTGGGAGGGAGAGGAGATAGGGTCAGCATGCGGGCTGACCGCTGAAGGTTCAGAAATGGACTCCTTGGCCACAATCTCATACGTCGATTCATTGCTGAAGGAAGACTGTGGGAGTGGAAAGATCCCACATGGGGCCCAGTGGGAAGAGGAGATGGGGAGCGCAATGGAGTCGAATGGAGTCGGGCTTTCTGTTAAAGTTCCTGATGTAGTGATGGGGTCTTCTGAGAGGGGAATGATGGGAGTAAGGATGGAGAGCAAACGATTTCAGAGTGCTACAGACGTGCTCGCTCGTCACTATGGTGCCGGCCTCTTAAAGGGACAGAACAGGGCTGAGACCGGAGATTCAGAGTTCATGAGCCAGCCAAGGAAGAAAATATCCTACAGTTATATGGATGACGAGGACGAAATTAAAGTCTGAGGTCAGAAAATCAAACGTGTTGGAAAAAATTGTTTAAAAAAATGTGATGTGTAATTCCTCTGAAAGTCCAATCAAAGCAATCATGTAAAATCATCATGTGGTTGACAAAAGGCTGGTTCTGCTGACAGAACGAGCATGGAAACTTAACACCCTTCGCCCTTAATACAGACTTCCTTCTATGCAATCGTGCTCCGAGGATATAAAATTTTGATTCAAACCTGCTGCTGAATGTACCTAAAAGGAGTGAAAGACTTGGCTGCTGCACGTTTCCTGCTCTGCACAGGAAAATAACTGAAGCAATGGAGGGTATGGAAAGTGCGGATGTACTAGCGAATGTAGTTACAATCAAAGGAAAGCCCAGCGTTACTCAACGCGGAAGTTGCAACGCCTGACGTTCACTTTATCCTTTTTTACACTTCCTCATATACGAGGGGGAAAGGCTTCCGGTGCAAGACCAGATTACTAATGAGAACACAGAAAGGAAGTCGGAGGGGTTGGAAAAATATATTTGGTCTTAACACAAACTTTTGCTATCACTACAATCTCTTTTTACTCAGGAATATACTAGCAGGGGAGAAAAAAGGGAAGAACAGAAGAAAAGGGGAAATCCCAGAACTTACAGTATAAAGTCTCATCAGATAATCAGAGATCTCATTTATTACACTACGTGGACCAATGTAATACTACGCGTAATACTGGTATTTGCTAGATGCAACTAAAGCCTGAATTATATATTGTGCATTGTATGCTGCAGACCTTCTATATAGATAATCTGTGCACCTTTTTTATGATTATGAAGTCCGACCTGTGTATTGCTTTTTTTTTAATAGAGGAAACATCATGCATATGTTACTTTATACAGCTGCACATGAAGATATCTGCTGACCTCCTATGAATATGTACATACAGTATGAGCACCTGCAGTAAGTACATAGTGCAATTCACATCCATATGCTGCAGCCAGTACCAGCAATTATACTACAAAAATATAAAATGACAATAAAGGTGTTTTTAATGAGTTGTGCATTCATTTCAAGTTGGTTTAAAGGAATATTCCAGACACACTCTATAAACCCCAAAACACTGCTGTAAAAAGTTTGAATTTTCGAGGACTGTTCAAAGTGAGCACAGCCACTATCGGTTTATGGGTGGGGTATCGTTTAATAAGTGAAATGCCAAAACCAGAGAAAAAAAAAGTTTTCCCACACTAAAATAGCTTACACAAATACAATTGTTTTGTACATTTATGGACAATTCCACAGGAAAACAGGAAAATATTTTTGCTGTGAATTCATTTATCATAGGTCTATTTTTTTTCTCTGACCGTAAAACCATCAGAATAAATAAAATTACTAGGCTGGTTATGGGGAAAAAAAATCTGCAACACTTATAATCAACTTACTGGACAATCTAAGCGTACCCAGCACTCTTTGTCTTTTTTTTTAATGACAAAATATAAAAGTGTTTCAGCGGCTGTTCTGCTCGACTCAATAACAGAACTTTGAGGGACGTTTGTTTCTCACTGTGCCATAGAAGGAACCTCTTTTGCCTGTGATGGTGGGGGAAGAGGTGGAGGGCAGTTTGGAGCTTTGAGTCCAGGCTTTTTCGGAGGAGGCTTTTTCATGCTGGCCTGCTGTCCTCGGGGTGCAGGCATCGGATGGGGCCTAGTGTCTGGAACCGTCGCAGGTGCGATCGGGGGTGGAGGGGCATGTGACTTGAGAGGTGGCGGCGGTTTTGGTTTGGAGAACTGAACCGTGACCTGCTCGTTTGGCTGGTTAGACTTGCTCGGGGGGAAAGTTCTCCTTGCTGTAAGAAAGATAGCGGGGGGGGAATGACAGCACTGAGTGCACGAGTACAAGAAGTCATGCACTTCTGAAAGCGAAAATCACAAACCTTAAACAACTGAATTATATCTGTGGTATACACTGTAAATAAAAGACAGATTTAGCCGCATTTTTAATGCCTGAGCTGAAACACCAGACACGATGTGATATAACAATAATTCACATACTGCAATTTATCACCTCTTTTGCAATTTATGTCCTCATATTTAAAAGACGTCATTATCTGTGTTATCCAGTAAGATAAAGTTATCTCACTTCTTGGTTTTTCTGCTGTAAAATGAGATTTTTGAGCAACACTGCCCCAAATGTTGACATGTTGAGTCAGTCTTATATCAGTCTGCAACTGAAAGGCATTAAAATGGCAATTATATGCAATCTGTTTTTCCTAATACAACAGTTAACACCAAATAAATCACATGTCTGTTACAATCTGCTCTAGAGGTTAACACACTCTACATGTTACATAGACTATAAACCTATCACTATATACATGTGTCAGGTTTAGCTACGGTTTCAGTGCTCGTACAGTCTATGTTTAGCCGATATGTACAGATATGTAATTTCTCATTCAACTATATTTGATTTATGTGTTTAGTTTACTTCATTGACAGAGTTTCATTTAAATTCTAGTATCAAATTTCGACATCTGGTGGAAGTATATGACTACCCAGTTGCTTTACATTGTATAAGCTATTATAGAAATGCACTGCATTTAAGGAAAAATGGTTTGGTAGATAGATGAACAGCATGATACTTATAAGGCAACATCTTTCAGCCAGCGAGGCAGTTACAAAAGTGTAAGAGATGACGCATGAACCTAAAGATTGATACTCTGGTCAGCGGTGTGAGACTTCCTGTTTCCTGTGTACATCCTGATTGTTAAAATAACAGCGGTAGATGTATTTTTCCTCATATTAAAATACATCGAATTACCAAGCCACTCTTTTGACTAACGAGTCTGCACTGAGCTTTCTACAATGGAAAAGAAACAGTAAGTGCTGATAGAGATACCCTCAGTCCAAAAATAGCTCCTTTGGGAGGGATATTTATAATATGGTAAAAATTACCCTGATGATCTCATCTTTATGTACTGAGATCATGATCTTTAAAATTTGAAAGATAATGCGTAATAGGATATCCCAGCTTCACCTGCGTCAGCTTATATTAGAGTAATGTAATGTCTCGTGTGTACGTATGAAAAACTAAAGTGCTTCTGGAGAGGCAGTCCCAGCTCGACCTGTTTGACTGAACCTTTGACTTACGTTTAAACGGTGACGCGATCTTCACTAATGCCCTGGGAGAATCTGGCGGTGCTTCCAAAATTGGCTCGAGCGGGTTCTGTTCTGAGATCTGCCTCTGGGTGGGACTCCGGGCCTGGCCTGAGTTTGTCGCAGATCCCGCTGCTCTGGGAAGCGGAGTCGGGTTCTGGTTTGCTGTTGAGCTGGATGCAGCTGTAGAGTCAGAGGCCGGAGACGGGCCGGGATCGGTCAAGGATGAGCTGCTGGGCGTCCTGTTTGGTTGAGCAGGTGCTGCCGTCTCCGCTTCAGGGCTGCCCCACGTGGAGGTGCCACTGCGGCCGCTCACAGAGCCAGATTTCACCAGGAAGGAGACGCCGCTGTCCTGAGAGGCTGTGCTGCAGGTTCAAGTATTTTAAAGAGTTTCCACTTTTTAGCATTTGTAGCCACTGAATATTTAACATCATATCATAACATATCTTAAAATATAAATATCTTTGATATGATTACTGCACTTATTACCTACCTGTTTGTCTTGGAAAGAGGGAAGTGATATGCAGACGAGGAGGCTGTGGAGGAAGAGGAGGAAACAGTTCTGCTCAGTTTCCCCTTTTCTGGGACAACGGGAGAGGGCAGAGACGCATCCAGGACCTCGGGAAGTTCTGGGATCTCGAACGAGAGAGCTGATCAAAACAAATAAATAAAAAGAGTCTTACTCATTGCATTCAGCTGATGTACACGTTCATCCCCGTTCACATCATCTACATTCATCTTTGACCTGCTCCACTTGCCACATGCACAGTTTCCTGTGCAAGGGTGCGTCTAAGGGTGTACTAAGTTTCTGAGCGGGTGTTGCAGAGAGGTGAAAAATAACACAGGCTTTATTCATTTCCATGTTTTTCTCCCGTATTCTTGACAGAACAAAGCAACATTCATATTAACTGCAACTCGTGTTTTTAGCAAGATATAAAATACAATAAAATAATTGTGGTTATTGCAAATACGAAAAGAAAAAAATATGTTACATTAAAACCACCCACACATGAATTGTGGTTAACAGCAGACTCAGTCAGAGCAACTGATATTGTGTAAAAGTGATTCTGTGAAGATCTGTATTGTTTGCGATCTGGCTTTCTTACCAGATAACTAAGTCACATACATGTCTAAGGGCCCAGTTCTTCATTTTTCTGTATCATATCATATCCCCGCATCAGTGTATGTATCTTTTAGCCATGCTGAACAACAAGTCTTCAAAGAACAACTTTCAGTTTACATTAAGAGTGCATTTACCTTCGGGGAAGAGATCAGAGCTGTACTGAATAAGAGGCTCAATGACTGTCACCACCTGGACTGAAGAAGCTGAAGCCATGTCAAAGAGAGCAGCTTCCCTAACGAGGCAAAGTGATTGAGAGAGCAGAGAAGGACTCACATAAAGCACAAATATTGTTAACAGTGTAAGAACAGGAATAACTTGGAATATGATTAAACACACGTACCCCTCAGCTCGCGGCCAGAGCAGGTTTGGTCCCAGGACGATGGCGATGTTACTTGGTGTCATTTTGTTTATAGCCTGCTGCTCAGATAACAGAGACAGGAACTGGACCAGGTACCTGATAAGCAAGAAAAGAAGATGGAAAGAAAAAAATGAAGAAGACTTATAGACATATTAACACAAGATATATGAAGATTGAAATAAATATAAGACTTGTTGATTTCCTCTGCCATGTTAGCAACACTGAGGCTGTGCTTTGAAATAAAGGTCGTATGAGCCAAATGTTAAGCCTTTTAATGTGGGCAGATATATCTGAGTGGTATCAGATCAAAACTTTGTTTCTCTGCTTTAAGTTCACTGCGTAGCCCACTCAGTGGTGTTACTTTTATACCTCCAACATGCACAATGAAATAATAGAAGCTGACTCTAAGTAACTGAGGGACAGGTACGTTTATATTCCAGGTCTAAAAAGTACACACAGTGATTTCATGATCACTAAAATGTGTTCAGAATTTGCAATGTGCTGATGAGTCATCCCATAAGTCACACTGCTCTCCCTAAACATAAAATGCCTTAAAAGTATCACTATTTGTATCGGTATTAGCAATACTGGCCCTGTATTGACTCGGTATCAGATTAATACCTAAATTTGCAGTATTGCACAGCACTATTAAGCCACACATAATGATAACATGTTGATGCATAGTTCGCTGACTTAGTTGATGAGGTATGGTGGTCCTTAAAGGTCAAAAACAAGAAAACAGCAGCAAATAGAGAAATTCTGCAAAAGCATGCAAAACACAAAGGAAGTAAAATAAAACACAAAGGAAGTAAAATAAAACACAAAGGAAGTAAAATAAAACACAAAGGAAAGAGGAAAAATGGCAGCAAAAGCTCCAAAATAACGTGACAGCACGCTGCAGAAGTGAGACGCTAACAGTAAAGGGCTAACAGCAGGCATGTGTCCACAGTTACATGAATCATGTGATTAAAACACACATTACACAAAACATCAGGGTTTTTTTTTTCACTTCTATTGTGTTTTACTAAAATTCCTTTGTTGTTTATTGGTTGTGTCTTGTGTTTTTGTGTGTTTTTGCAGTGTTTTTTCTATTTGCTGGTGTTTTCTTAGGTTCCAGTGCATTTGACCTCTCAGGTCCAGGACCAACAGAAGCTAATTCAAGACACATTAAAAACTAACTAGACATCTGAGCAGAAACACAAGGGCCAAAACTGAACCCAATACATCTTTTTTATATTGTCTTAACCACACATTCTATATATATACAAAACAAAGAGCCATCATGACTCATGAGCCAACAATACTGCTGAAATATTTCAGTTAGGTAAATTTAAAAAACAACAACGACTTCTTCGTCAGAACATTTGATCGTGTGAGCGCAAAAAAAGAAAAAAAGCTATTCACAGACTACACACCTGAGGTTGTTGTAGTTTTCAGGTGGCAGTTTCTTTAGAAGTATCTTGAATTGTTCCAGCTTCTCTGACAGCTCTTTCTCCCTATGGGGTCAGAGGTCAGAGTTAAGGAACACACCACAGTCAAAATGAGAAATGTAGAAATCGATTTTGTACAGACCCTGCTGCTTTAAACCAGTCGTTGTAGAGGTCAAACGTCATTAGAGGTTCGGGAAGTTCTCGGAGGTAACACTTCAAAGCTCCTGTCGACACATTCAGAAGTAAATCCCACCGTTAGATAAAAACACATATGTTTATTAACCCAAAATATTCCATTTTGAATTTAACCTTCTTGCTGTTTTCTCAACATAATCCATTAATAAACGCTTTTATATTGCACTGCTATAAATAATTCTAGCGCACTGAAGTGGTGTTTTTGATGTTCACAGGAAGCTGTGCTTGGAGCAAACAGAAGAGGAACTGGGTTGTTAAAATGAGCTGTGAAAGTCACATTGGCTGGCCAGATGAGGAAGAGCCCTCATGACGGGAAATGGAAGAGGGCACAGCCTCACCTGCCACGGCGTGAGGGTCCATGCTGAACTCGCTGTGGTCCACCGTCCCTTGATTCAGACACGTCTTCAGCCTCTTCATCACCGAGGCTGCGGCGGCCAAGCGAAACAGACCCTGAGGAAAGACGACGGTTCATGAAAAGCGGGAGAAAAAAAAGAGCGTTCGAGCGGTAGAAGTCGCAACCAGCCAGCAGTCAGTCAGTTCAAATCAACATAACCAGGGAAAGCCCCCACGGCTCAGAAAGAAAGTGTTAACACCCTCTTTACTGATTATATACGTTTAGACACTGATTTTTTTCCACCCTTTCAGTTTGTCCATACAGTTTGTGCTTAACATGCAAAACTGATTACTTTCCCATCAATCTTAACTGTACTTTGTAGTTACTGCAAATGAACAAACATTAACACACCAATGCTCTAAACTTCTTTTTAATTTTAGTGAGTAAATCTGACTCCAGTTTTGCAGAGCTGCTGGCCCGTACACGTTGATTTAAATAGGACCTGTGATGTTAATTTGGAGCTCTTTTCTTTGTTCCTGTGATGCTACACTAGCTTTGGTTCAAAAGAATCACTATTCATATAACACTGGGCCTTTGTGCAGCTCCTCAATTCAGCCGATAGCTGAGCCGTGAGCCTGAGAAGACCATGTGATGCATTATAGTGATCCAAGAGTATACAAAGTGTCTAAATTAGTGCTTAGAGCAGCATAAATCCTGAGAGTTACATAACAGTAATAACCTCAGAAAGCAATATGATGTGCACTCAGGCTTGGACGGTGCACAGCAATTTAAGTGGGCAATGAAAGCACTTTTAATTTGCATATTTCTGGGTCTGCGTGTTATGACTGCGAACACTGTGCGGTACCTCCTCTCTCATGCCTGTTCTCAGCAACATGTGAATACACTCCTGGATGGGCGCCGCGATTTCTCTGTTGCTTTGAGACAAATGTGAGAGCAGAGGCTCCCCGTAGACCTTCTGGTTGGAGAGGCTTTGTGACGACTCTGCAAAACACACAGCAGGGCATGATGACACGTATCGCAATATTACATCAGCGCAGCGGATGAAACGCACGGACCTGAGAAAACTCGGGTTACCTTTTTGACTGTGATCCTCTTTGAGTTCGCTGATGTTTTTATCCAGGAACATGTGAGAATTCTTGTGGTATTCTGCCTGCAGCTCGAGAAGCTATTTTTTGACCAAGAGAGAAGCAGAGGCGGTGGATATTAAAAGAAACAAAAGTCAAAGTTAAGAAAAAGGTCACATCATTACCGTAACGGTGACTCACACGAATAAAGTAATTTGCGTAGTCATCCTCCTTAGTTGCAAAGTGATACAGGTCTGCAGAGTACTGGTCCTACGGAGACAACAGCAAAAGGTCAGAGATCAAGACGACGCCATTGATTCCAAACAGGCGGAAGACAGACACTTAAACACTTGTACCTTGATGCTCTCCAGCTTCCTCCAAGCTTCTTCCATTTCTTCCCTAAGCCCATCCTGCTTTGCCTGAGGTCCAGTGCTAGCCTGACTCCTGACCACACATACACACACACACGCCGACACATAAAAAAATTTGAAAAATTGTGGGGTGGGGTGTGTGGTTGAAGTGCAGGATGTTTAAAAACCTCACCTCATTCTTGCATTGTTCCAATCTGTTGTGAGCTTTGCAAACTGCTTTTTGTTCCTTAGAATTTCAGGTAAATCATCCTAAATGGACACAAAAAGGGAAAAAAAAAGATTTTATGTGATCATTTAGTTACATCTAGAGGATTGTGCATGAGTGTAGTCTATGCTTCTAAATAATCACATACAGGGGATGGGCAGAATATAGCAAAGACTTAACAATGACGTTCAAGTGGCTACAAAAGCACAAGTAGTTAACTCATCTAGCATTTGACGACCTCCTCTGTACCTATAATGACGAGCTTTGACACCTCAGTGTACATCAGTAAAGTTGTGGTTTGATGACCATTTGAACAGTTTGGGGGGGGGGGGTTTCCAATTAATGTTTGATGCAAACTGAGTCATTTTGTTCAACAGGAAAGGGAACTATGAGAAAAACCCTTCTGTTCATGAATATTAATGAAGGAGCTTCACGGGTTAAAAATTAAAAAAGCACTTTTAGCCTAAATTATATCAGAACATGTTCTTGGTTTTGCTCATCACTGATCTTCTGTTCAGCAACATGAACATTAAGCTGTTGTCACCTCGCTAAGCTTGTTTAGTGGCTCCAGGACCTCCTTCTCCACTTTCACCTCAAAGTCTGCCAGCATGTTGGCCAGCATCTTCTCCATGAAACAGCACATTTCCAGCACCCTCCTGTCACACACACACGACCAAATCATGATAAATATCCACCTCAAATCTGATATTCTGTTTTGGAAATATATCAGAAGACATGCTATAAATTTCATTTAAAAGTGCAAATAATCAGATAAAGCATGTTCCTTCAGATTTAAACTAGATAAATCAATATACAAAGCAAATGGCATGCATGCAACCCATCAGGCTAACCTATTATAGCGCTAAACTCTAAATAAAGCAGATGCACAGAGCTCTGGTAGCAAGTCATAGACAGCATCCTCTTTCTTTTTTCACCCAGAACTGAAAACTCGAAAACCTCCACACTACAGTCATGAGGTTTTTGCATGACTCTAGTGTCAGTAAGAGCATTGGAGTTCAAGTACAGAACACAGATGGATCAATGGAGGGGTGGAAGGGTAACTGCAGAAGATCAAACCTGTCACCTGATTGAGGACTCTGCATCGAAGTCTTTCAGACTCTCTGCCATGCTGACAGACAGAAGCATCAGAGGAAGTTTTTTCTGTAGAGAGAGGAGGACATGTGACATTTTTCAGTAACTAACAGAGCATTTCCATAAACCACGCAGATGCATTAACACTGCTACCATTCGTTTTTCGGCCTCCAGCCCCGGTTGACTCTGCATGCAGCTCTGCAGCTTTTTATGGAGGACCTGAGCTGCCTTCCTGGCTGGTTCAATCCTCTGCTCCACCTTTGGTCAAACACACATACGGTGAACCTTAGAGCGTCTAATGATGGTATTTAATGTATTATTTTACTGCTATAAATGATGTGTGCAAACGAAAAATGCTATTGTTGCATAAATTTACATGAAATAGAACGTGGGTGGTAAGTGAATGTGTCCTCTAGTAGAGCTAGTAGAGCATCGCTGTGGTAACCATTGACAATATACAGCTATGGCTATAAACCACACTGTGTCTTGAATAATACGTTATTCATAACAGTATAAGAATAAAAGAAATCTGTAAGGGTAAAGCAGATTATTTTTCTCACCATAACCAGGTCTTCATGTAGAAGGTCGGTAGCATCTTGTGACCTGCAAAAAAAATGATATTAATTTAGAAAAGATCTGCTGTTTAATGTATTGTTTTAGCATGATATTTAATGCAGCGGTCCCCAACCGCCGGGCCACGGACCAGTCCATGAGTCGTTTGGTACCAGGCTGCAAGAGTTGAGGCTCGGGGTTAATCATTTTCATCGATAACTCGGTTTCCTTGGGTCTTTCCCGTGTGTTGTTTTTTTTTGGTACTGGCACTGGTGTTACTTACCGTGACACCTTAAAGGGCAGTCTGTGAAAATATTGTCGGACATAAACCGGTCCGTGGCGCAAAAAAGGTTGGGGACCGCTGATTTAATACATATAATTAAGCTAAGGATAACACGTGTCTGTTGATATTCAGTTTTCTAAATGTATTTAAATCAACTGAATTCAAACATGCAACCTTGGACTGTGATATTGTGCTGCTGTTTTTATATTCTGTGGCTGGTTACTCAGCTAATCAAAATGTGAAAGAATTCTGTTAGCTGTAGCTAAAAAGAAATAAATGTCAAAAAAATAAAGGGGCTTGAAATGTACATTTTGACTTAAATCGTATCGGTCTCAATGTTTGAAACCAACCTGTAACCTGTGCTTAAAACGGAAACTTGAAAAATGCTAGCATTAGCATGCTAACGTGCTCACAATGAACATAGCCAACATGACATCACACACTGGTTTTGAAGTTTAAAGTTTACTATTTCAGTCATTGCTATCTTTTTTTACATATATATTATTATTTTAAACTAGACATAACAAACCAGACCTGGACTTTAAGGCTGGTAAAAATGTAAATACACCATTACTGCTTCCATAGGAATTCAGAGGATAAGTAGCAGAGAAACTGTTAAAAACCGCAAGAGCTACATTTAAATTAGTATCTACAGATTACACAAACTGTGTAATCTTTTCATCTTCATGGCAGTACAGCTATAAAAAGATCGAACAAGTGTGGCTTGTTTGGAAAGGTTCTTAGCAGAAAGGCTCTACAAAAAGAACATTTCAGCTCAGCATGGTGGCCGTGCCTGAAAAAAGTACAAATCTTCTGGAGCAATGTCACAGCTCCATGTTTGACCAAAAGCCCCAGAGAATCAAACCCAGAGCTATACCCAGAGTATCGACACAAATGTCTCATGTATTAAGCACGGTGGTGGAGGGGTGATGATTTGGGCTTGTTTTGCAGCCACAGGATCTGTGAACCATGCAACCACTGCGTCAACCATGAGCTCTTCTGTGCACCAAAGTGCTCTAGTGTCAAACGTGAGGCAATCTGTCCGTCAGCTAAAGCTTAGGTCAGAAAGGACATGCAACAGAGCATGATCCTAAACGCTGCAGCAAACCTACAAGAGAATGACTGGAAAAGAATCAAGGTGTTGTAGTGACCACGTCAAAGCCCAGACATCAACTTGAATGAAATGCACGACATGTGAGAGAAGAGTGGGTCAAAATAATTCCGTAACGATACGAGAAACTGATAAAGTCATACAGAAAATGAGTACTTCACACTACTACTTCTACAAACTGTTGAATCATGGGATGTACAGTTAAATCTAGTTTTCTAGTTCATTAATCGGGTAAAATACAGTTTCAGCCATTATTACTCATTTGTGAGACTAGATAGTGGGACTATCCAAAAGTTGTCCAGTTATAAATAGAGACCCAAACATCAAGTAATACACATGAAACACCAATATAACCTAACATAACCGAAATATCATGAATATAGTCATGAATCTTTCTCATATATATGTAGACTTGGACGATGCATCACACCCTGCTGACCATCAGAAAGAATGCCACTTTAAGGCACTTCTGCACTGGCATCAGTCTTTTATATACAGTCATTTAGCAGGTAAGTGATGTTTACCATGTTGACTATCTCAGTTTAGCATGTTGCTGTGCTAATTAATATGTGCTGATTAGTCACAAACATAAAGTACAGCCCCAGTTGACTAGACTTGCTTTCAGTAACAAATCAAATGAAACTTTCACCAAGAAGTCATCGCAATTTTTTGGTGTATTTGAGCACACCACGTGATAAAGTTATTTCTGTACCGGGTAACTGACTTTCCTACTGTTTCAGTGCAGTGGCCTCGCAGTTTGCGCCTCTTCTGCATGGGGGACATAAATATATCTAAATGTGGGGGTGGTAAAAGATAAAGGACATTTTAGGCCTGAATAACATGCGACACCATGACAAGAGCCTAAGCATGGGCGTGTAGGGTAGTGCTGTGGTTTATTTAGCACCAGGTGGGGAGGACTGCAACACCACAAGTTTCTCTGCTGTCACAAGAGGAGGCAAAGCAATCTACAGAGAGCCGATAAAAGTCACTGCAGCCATTATGTTTGTGCTAAGCTGAAAGGAAACCAAGCCCAGTTCACAAAGAGTTCAGTTATGCTTCAGTACTTCTAAGGTATAGTTTTAATTCCTCTCGTGAATCTAAAATCTGGCCTTTCGCAACACAAGGAGAAGAAATCCTCAGTAGGTGCTTGTTTTAGAGCACATATACTTTATTAGGAATTGTATGTGAGACCTTAGAGGTGTATGTGTTTAGATCATTGTGCAATATGTCTATTTATATGTGTGTTTATTTCATCAGAGCTCAGCGCTCCAGTACAAAGTGAAAAGTGCTGTTCGTGTTAGTTGGAGCCCACGTTGCCCTGCTGCAGATGCACGCTGCCGAGTTTATTATTAAACCAGAATGCGTCAAAGGTAAAGGGAGCACAGCCTGAAACCACACTCCTCTAGCCCTGCTGCATGCAAGCTTGTACCAAGAAAACCAAATAGCGCAAAGGTGCATGATTTAGTCACCCACTTCTTTGCTAACGCCAGTCACTCAGTGGTAGTCAACCACAGGAATGCCTAACATAATCTGGCACCTACTTTCAACTTTAAGGTGTTGTGCAAAAGTCTTAAGCCATCCCATATTACTTCATTTTTTTGCAAGGAAAACAGGAAATGGGTGTTTACTGAAACATGTGCAAACCTGCATGGAAATACAGTATATAAGGCAAAAACAGAGTTTTGAATAACTACCAAGTCTATTTTTCATATGACATATTTATTCTTCGGGGCAGTTTGAACTCTAGTATGCAGGTTTTGTGTAGTCTTCGGGAATAGTTCTCTGGGCTTCTTGGAAGATATTCAAAGCTGTACTTTGGATTTTGGTCTTTTGTTCTGTTCTCTGTCCAGATGTTCCCAGACTGCTTCAGTGATGAGGTCCGGGATCTATAGAGCCCAGTGCATTACTATTCCACTGTGTTCTGATACTGCTCTGACAACGTGTTTGGGTCTCGAAGACAAATGAAGTCAATCAAACACTTTCCCCGTGCAACATGGCTAAAGTCCAGTAAATCTATGAGTTCTATCAATTTTGACAAGCTCTCCAACACCACTCGCTGAAATGCAGACCCAAACCATGACAGAGCCTCCACCGTGTGTTACAGATAAACTCTCCTGACCTGAATTTCAAATTTGGATTTAACACTCCATCAGACCCAACAATTTTCAGTCCACTTCTTGTGTAATTAGGCATACCTCAGCCTTTTCTCCCCGTTCCCCTTCAATAAGCTACCTGCCAGACACCCTTCCACTGAATTTCTAACGAGGCTTTAGCGAGCAGTATGTGAATCAGCTGAAGAGCCTTCAAAAAGCCCGGAGAACTGTTGTGACAAAGGCTTTTATTTTCCAGTTAATGTTTGCACTGTTGAAATATCAGTTTAGCAATTTAAAAGCAACCTCCTGGCAAAGAGCCACCATCTTTCCAGAGTGTGTTTCTAACATTCACCACAACCTTGAGTCAGTTTCTCTGTTCAGAAGTGCTCAGCCGCTCTGAGTCCGAGGTTTCCCTCAAAATCCAAACAGTATGAGTCACTTTAAAGAGGAACCAGCTACTTTACACACTTCCATCACACTGAAAGTGAGAACGTACAAAAAACCAAATCAGATTATCAAACTGACACGAAAACTGCACTGAGAATTCCCCTCCCTCTTAGCGTTAAAGAAAATAAAGTCTCAAAGTAAAGCGATCCATCGTATTAGTAACGCAGCGGTGGATAATTTTTCATGTAGTCTGATAGCAGGAGTGGCATTAAGGTGGCTGGTAGTATATGATGAGCATAAATGACAAAAATAAAGCAGAGAAGTCTCAGTGATATTTCCCTACAGACAGCCACCGAATACTACTGTTCAAGCTGATGTATATTCATTACACTATGGTCACGGCTGTGGTTACTGATTTCTTTATCTAATGCGGCAATATGTAACTCAAGGGACATCTGTCTTACACGACGCAACGTTTGGCGCCACAGAAGACCTTAAATTTACTTTAAATGTGATCATAATGTCGTTTAAATGCAACATTCAGAATACAAGTTCAGGCTTACCTTGTCGCAGTGCCCAACTGCTTCAGGATGCTCAGAGACTGCCGGAGCATGCTGGCAGCAGAGTCCAACCAGCCTTTCTACCTGACCTACCCACTCTTGATCGACTCAGCACGGTATCCTGTTAATTAAAAAAGAAAAAAAGTGGAGGAAAAGTCCACACAGGCTCCAGGCTGCGTTACTGCATCAGGAAGAGAAAGCACAGACCGGTGGCTCTGCCTCTGCTTTGTCTGGTTTTTGTGTGTTTATGCATGCGTGTTTTGGCCTTCAGTTTTCGTTCTCGTTTCAGGAGCACGCTCTCAAGTCACGTCGAGCACAAGTCAGCGAATGAGGAAGTTGCACAGATGATATGCAGGCTGTGAGAGGGAAGAGAGATTTTTTTTTTGTTGTTGCATTGTCACACTATGATTTGACAGTCTAAAATGACACATGACGTGACAGAGAAGAATGAGTGGGACTGTGTAGGTATCATATGAAAGGTTGATCCGCCTTTGCAGACGGATATCTCATGAGGAATAATTTGCGCAGCGCTGCGTTTGTTTGTTGCATCTTGTAATTAGAATGATGCTCGCCCACTTAAAATATCCTTCAGGCACGGCTGTGGTTAATGGGTAGTTCTGTAAACTAAGGTAAAAAGGATGTGAAATGGCCGAAAGAGGAAACTGAGCTGCTGTTTGTAACATTTTTTTCCTGTCAGCTTAAAAGTTATTTCCATTTTAACGAGTCCACTCTATTCCTCTTTAAAAATCTGGGCATTTTAATTTTTGCTTCAGGTAGTCTGCTTCCTTTTCGGTTAAGATTTTTAGATCTTTTGGATTTTTTTTGGTTGTTGTTTTGTAAACACAGCACTGACTTTCTGCAGTCTCTTTAAGTTTAGCGTCAAATAAGCGTAACTCGCCTTTAATCGTGTCTGAAGTTACTTTACTCGTTCTTTCAGCTCCGTTTCTGGATTCGAGAACCATTCTTATAATTTGGGATTTATTGTTCTTAAATTTATGGTGATTGCAAATCATGTCTCCATTCATGGCACACAGATGTTTTTATTCTTCTTGTTTCACTTTGACTTTAGATTTAGGCAAGCAGTCACAGAGGGCTCTCCCCTTCCTGTTTGGGCTCAGACACTCTTAGTACGAAATCTGTTACCAAAAACAAAAACTACAGTAAGGACACGTTAATCCCATGAATTAACTAGAAATGAATAATGATGCCTTAAAAAAAATTAAACATTACTGTACTTGTTAAAGTTTTACATTAAAGTTTGTAGTGTTTGTAGATCAACATTGCGATTTTAACAGAATGCCCTTCATAACTCAACTAGGAGGCACATGAAATCAGCTTATCACAGCCATTATGTTTTTCTGATGTTATTTTGTGATATTATTCTGTTACTTGTGTAGTGTTTTGCAAACAGTAGATAAATGATCTTTATTTTCACTGCTCATTCGCTGAGGGTTAAAAACTGCACGTGTAGGATTTGCAGTGAAATGCAATACGCTTAAAAATGTTGCTGTATTTGCTCCAAAATACCTTCCAGGAGGGAAGGTGAAATGGCACCTGAGCTTCATTTCCAGATTTTATTCTTCTTTTTTCTTTCAGCATTGACACTAAATCGATCAGAGGGTGCAAGTGAGATTGAACCAGCCCTCAACTGCCACATGCTACAGCCTGGTGGCAGCATTGTCAAAATGCACATGACAAACAAACTGAGTCTTTATTTTTAGCAGTTTCCTGACCATTTCTTTTGGCTTCGAGTCAAATTACATTTCTGCAACACTGTGGGTTTCATACAACACTGTGCAAACATTTTGAGCAACCCCTCGCCCCACCCCAGACTTTTTTGGTTTTTTGGTCATGCTTTAAGGCAACCTTGAGTAACTCAGCTCAAAGAATAAACTAGTGTTGTGTCTGCATATGAAGTATGAAATTTAAGTTGTATCTTTAGGTATTTTGTTACTAACAACCTATCAGGAAAAAAATTAAAGAAACATTTTTTTCCAATTCTTTAGCTGAAGCCATGAAAAATACCAAAGATAACACAGTTTAACAGGTATAATACAGTAAAATATAACTCAGTAGTATAGTCAGTGTCCTGAACCATCTGAAAAACATGGATGCTCTGTTGTGGTTCGGGGTTGCATTTAAGCTGATTTTGAGGAGCCTGTCAAAATTGATGGAATTCTTGATGCAAAAAAGCACCATTTGAAGTAATACCATACAGAAAGTGTCTGATTGGTAACAGCTTCATTTTTCAGTATGACAATGATCCCAAACACAGACAATGGAGCACTTTAAGTCATGGATTGGTCACCCCAGAGTCCAGACCTCAACATTATTGATGTAGTGTGGGATCATCTTGACAAACTGCAGAACAAAGACCTTTGAATGTCCTTCAAGAAACCTGGAGAACTATTCCTGAAGACTACTTAAAGAAATGACAAGAAAGGTGCCTGAGAGTTCAGGATGTGTTGAAGAATAAAGGCACTCATCCCAAATACTGATTTTCAAGCTCATTAGAATCGCATAAACTGTTTTTGCCTCATTTACTGCATTTATTTTTGCATATTATATTTAATCACTGCACCCATTTACCTATTATCATATATACGTTTTGAATTAGGAGTGGCTTGAGACATTTGTACGGAACTGGACATAGTTTGGCATCTGGCACAAGTGCGCCATTACTTTCAGGCCCATCCAAATTAATCCGTTTATCAGAACAACATGTTTTACCGTGTTAGGTGAGCAGATGAAACAGTCCAATGCTTGCAGTTTAAATTAGATGCAGCAACGCAGCTGATCAGTTTATTGTTTCAAATCACTTCAAATACATGAGGGAAAACACCTCTTACACCTCATGGTTTCAACATTTTGTCCAGTGAACATCGTGGAAAACACCATAATTTTGTTCAAGATAATTTCCAACGCACCACATAATGACCAATTTATTATGTTCACCTGTTCAGTCTAGACAATTCAGCTGCCCTGCAGAAAATCCTCTTTGTGAAGTTAATAACATTCGGGGGGTTTTTTGCTCCGTGAGAGGAGCCGGGCCATCATCTGGAAGCTGTTTTTAGAGGTGCTTATGTATATAAGTGCATTACTGCTGAGTGGTAATGTACCTAAGAAAGTATGTGTATGTTAACTGTAGCACTTTACTTACAGAAAAAACAGTGAGCTGGTGTCATGTAAACTTTAACAAGGCGACAAAAGACACTCTGCTACAGAAATACAGAAGCTGTCACTAGAAACAGCGTAAGGCCAAAAATACTGAGGATGTTTCAGATTAAACTTTTAAATACAGATACATCACCTCCCTCCCAAAAAATAAAAAATAAAAAATAAAATAAAAAATTCTTTTAAAGGAATTTCATGGGCTGTTCCTGGTGGTCTAAGGCCAAGAAACATGAACAGTAAGTTGACTGAAGGTAAGTACTGAAAACAATCACGGGACATAAGACAAACCAAATAACAATATGTCTCGCTGTGGGGGAGACAACAGCCAATTATTTCCACTCTGTAAATTTCCAATTAAAAATCTGTTTTCATATCAATGGCAAACGGAAAAAAGGAAAAGAAAAAAGGGACAGCAGTTTCTGGAAATTTTGACTTTACTCTAATGGAGTGAGAAGAATGAGGAAACGTTTATGCAAAATATCAACTCAACTGATTTCTGATAACTGAGCTGCAGCATACCATTTTAAACCTAGAACAAAGTAGTAAAATCCAGAGTGTACTTCCTATATCAGTTCATGTGTTTAATAATGTTCTTTCCTTCTCCTGTCACTGATTTGCGTTCTTACAAAACAGTTATAACTGGAGAAAAAGTAAAGCACCAAAGAAATCCTCATGCAATTTTACATGACAGTAAACTTCTATTAGGTAATCTTGTTTTAAAAAAAAAAAAATGCACAAATCAAAAGGAATGCAAATAACTTCAGCAGCTTTTGAATTAAAAACCTGGTAGGTGTGGAGCAATGAAGAGGCTGTGAAGCACTTGGAAAACCTGCGATTGTCTCCTCTGGAACCTTGAAGGAGTTTTAAAGAAACCTGGAGGCATTCCAAATGTTCCATTTCTCTTCATCTTGTTTTGTTCCACCTGTTTTCTCTTGCCGTGGAAGCCCCACGAACTTTGATTTAAAATGAGGTACAGGAGTTTAAGAGCAGTCCTGATCTGACACTACCCATAATAGTCCCCTCCCCGTTCTCCTCTGCTTCTCCCTCCATCCCTCTGAGAGTGAAGTACATGGCGAAGCTTTCAGGTGGAGGACTAGCGCTTTGCTTTGGCTTCTTCCGCTTCTTTCTCTGATGAAAAATGACAAAAAAAAGAAAACAGTGCAAAGCTTTGAATTTCAAAGTGCTAAACATTTCCATAAAACCCATCCAAACAATCTGAGTCATAAAGTCTCCTGCTGGTTATTGTAATTATGAGAACGGCACACTAAAGCAGCAAGCCTTGCAAACATCTGACATCCTGGCGCTTTCTTAGAAGTTCCTGCCCTGCCTCATTTCAGAAAAATGCATTTGTATTCTCTGGCAGTACAACACTTTGTCTACACAGAAAGGTTTTTTTCCCCCCCTGTACAAACAAATCTCATATCCTCTTACAGCCCCAAGCCAGAGAGGGTATGTTGAATTATGTTTTGGAGCTTTTGTGTTGCAACTCAACTCACTGAGGATGCAAAGTGCTCCATTACTCACAATATAAAAGCCACAGAAACAAGCATGATGCAGTCACTCTGCTCCAGACAGATAGATTGTTATCTACAAACTTTTAGAGATGTTACAGAGATGTAGTTTGAAATAAATCTTGGATAAATCTGTGGTTCTGTGCACTCATGCACATTTTCAGAAACGACATATTTTTTAAAGCAGCTATTTAAATGAGCAGCAAGGTGTATACTTTCTCCACACTGCACAATTTTCACTATTCTCACCTTTCCTGAGTTCGTCTCGCTTCTTGGCAGCCTCCTCCCTCTGTTTCTTGATGATAGCCAGTCTGGCGAGATCAGCCCTGGCCTGCTCAGTCTTACCCTCAAGATGAAGTTTCATGTAGCGCTCTTTTGATTTCTGCTTTTCTATCTCTTCCCTGAAAAAGATACATTAAGATAGTAATATTTAGTCCCCTTGAAAAGGTATGAAGCACAAACCAAAACATCTTTTGTTTGACACCCACCTCTCCCTGCGAGAAAGCTCTCTGGGAGCGCTGACGTCTACTTCAGCTACCTTTTTGCTCTTCTGAGCGACACGATTGGGATTCTCAATCTCAATAAGCCCCTCCACTCCACTCCTCTTTCTAACCTACATAAAGAAAGA